CGTCCCAAATGGATCCTTAGGGTTTTCAGAAGCAGCCCCCCATGCACGAGACTTCTCCTCCCTCGTTCTCTCTCCACACTCAACGATTTGCAAAATTATAAAGACCAAAAATATTCCACGAATCACCAGGAGTCCAACCATATGCATAGTTTCCATTGAATCCTTTTAAAATGCGCAAACAGAAGGGATGAAGACTAGGGTTTCACTTATTTCTATTGAGATCAATCATGGGGAAACTTAAATCTAATGGTATAATTCTCTTCTACATGCTATGCTCATCACAAAGAACTATCACTCGTGCCTTGAAACCAAATATCTAGCTTGTTCTTGACCATAACAGATTCTTGCACCTGCTATCAAACTCCATGAAATGCCTCCTAATTCTCAGGATTTGATCACCTATTCTACCTTAACAAATCTACACCTAGAATCTAAGATATCCATGCATAATTAAAGAGATGTGAATGCATTTACCAACCTGTCAAGAAGCTATGGTAGAATGATGTAGGGCACGATTCAGTGCTTGCTTCTTCTTCCAGATGATCCTCCAATGGTGGAAATGATTCTGTTTGCAGTAGTTTTGGAGAAGAAAGCTTGTAGTGACAGAAATCCCAAGTTGCTTGATCTTGAAGGAAACTCTTCAATGGCAACTTCTCTCTCTCTTTCTCCTCTGAATTCCTCAACCTTGACCAACCTCATACTCATCATGATTCATTCTTCTTATAATGATTGATGGAAGCTCCTAGATCCTTCTAGAATGAGCTAGAAAAGTCTTGATTTTCTCATGTGGTGATAAGTTGAAAATCCCATATATCATGCCTCATGCCTTGTAATTTTGTGCCAAAATACCTTTACATGAGATAATGAGAAGATATGTGTGAAAAACAAGCTCATTTTTGGCTTATGTTGAGATTTCTCAAGTTGCCTTAAGATTCAAGTTTCAATTTTCCAAAGCATGTCCCATTTTAAAGCCTCAAATGAAACTTCTATTTAAACCAATGTTCTAAAAATGATGTTTCCAATCAAAATGATATATTGGATGACCTATTTTGGATTCCTAGACCTTCCAAACCAATTTCCAATTTCAACTTTTTAAACTTATAAGCCATTTTTAGTTCATTTTTAACCAATCATGCAAATCCATGCTATGAGCTTTTCCAACAATTCATGACCTTCTTTCTAGACTTAAAATCACATTTTGAACAACTTTCATGTTTTGAGTTTTTCCATTTGAGGCTTGGAAATAGGAGATATGGCCTTTGCTTAAAATGACCTATAATTGACAAATGACCAAAATACCCCTGTCTTGTTCAAACCATAAGTTGAGTTCCACAAATCCTATCAAGGACTTATACCACTCAAATTAAAGCTAAGGAGATGCCCTTCAACATTCATGTTGACCAAGAGATCATAGGAATCATCCTTCTAGGGCAAAAGTTGTCTGCAAGTTGGGTGACTTTCAAGGACCCAGATTCACACACCTCTGCTGACCTGTAATTTGTCAAAACCATAACTTGAGCTCTGTAACTCCTATCAAGGACTTCCACCACTCAAATTAAGCTAAGAACAAGCTCTACAACATTCATGTTGTGGGGAAGATGAGATATCAATCACATCTAGAGCTAAAACTGCCTGGAAAATAGGGATCAAATTAGGGTTTTTTCACTGACAATCCTCAGAAACCCTAACTCAAAACTTCTCAAACTCCTCAATCATGATGAGTTGGTCTAGGAATTATCTTTATAACATATCTATGCATCATTCCATGATCTCATGGCCCTTGGATTAGGTCTCAACCTTCTCCAAATCTTCAGCTGATCTAGGGTTGACCCAGTTAAAACCCTAATTCTACCATTCATGGTTGAATCTTCTGAACCCTTGCATAATGACCTCTCTGGGCTTCATGATGGCTATCAAGACATCTCATAGGCTTTCTCCAGTCATCAAGTTCATTCTCAAAGTCTCAGAATCATCTGAGGAGCCCCCATAACTCTCAAGCTATGAGTCACACATCCTTGGTTTCAACCCACTCCTCTGAGGATCTCTGGAACTTTTTGATGAAGGTATCAACTTTCAAACACTAGAAGGATAAATAATTGTTGGTCAAATTTTGGGGTGCAACAGCTCCCAAAATCCAAGTGTCAACTCTTCAACTCTCCATGATCTTGCCCTCAATTTGGTATGCACACATTCAGTATGATCAATGGAAGGTGTTGGGATTGAAAGAAGCAATGGAAATTGTGTGGAAGGTGGAATTTGATTTCAACTTGCAATGGAAGAAATTGAAATGGCTATCTCACTCTCCTCTCTAATATCTCACCAACCTTGCATCTGAGCAAGTTCTAATCCATATATAGGATGATTCTAATCCATCTAGAACCTTCTGGAATCATCCAATGAGAATTTGGGATTCTCATGCCATGAGTTTTTGATTTCATCTCATCTCACATGCCATCTCATGCTATGCCTCTTGCAGCAACTTGTTCTGACCTGAAAATCTCCCTAGATGAGATATATGATGTGTTAAGATACTTTACTAGCTTGTGTATTGAGTTTCCTTGTGTTTTGCATTTGTACCTTAATATGCAAGCAACCATTTTCCAAAGCAAGTCCATGATCTAAATCTCAAATCAAAAAAGTGGCTGAACCATTGTTTCTAAAATACTTTTTAGAGTCAAAATGACCTATTACATGCCATGGTTTGGATGTGTAACTTGGAAATTTCAATTTCCAACTTGGACTTATTTAACTTATGCCTCCATTTTAGGTCATTTTTACCATTTTGAGGTACAAGCCTTTTCAACATCTCATGACCTCCTTACTAGCCTTAAAACATCATTTTAAGAAAATTTGATGTTGAAGATTTTTCCATTTGAAGTTTGGAAATAGGAGTTATGGCCTTATGCTTGAAATGACCTATAATCTCCAAATGACCAAAATGCCCTTGACTTGTCAAAGCCATAACTTGAGTTCTACAAATCCTATCAAGGACTTATAGTACTCTCTAGAAAGCTAAGAAGATAAGGAACAACATTCATGTTGACCAAAAGTTCATAGGAATCATCCTTCTTGGGCAAAAGTTTGATGCAAGTTGGGTGACTTTCAAGGCCCCAGATTCACATACCTCAGATGACCTGTAACTTGTCAAAGTCATAACTTGAGCTCTTCAAATCCTATCAAGGACTTCTAGTACTCAAATTAAAGCTAAGATCAAGCTCTACAACATTCATGTTGGGGGGTAAGATGAGATGACAATCACATCTTGAGCTAAACTGCCTTGAAGGTAGGGGTCAAACTAGGGGATTTTACACTGTCAAGCCTTAGAAACCCTAGCTTGAAACTTCTCAAACTCTTCAATCATGATGAGTTGACCTTGGAATCATCCTTATAGCATCTCAATGCATCAATCCATGATCACATGGCTCTTGGATTAGGTCTCAACCCTCTTCAAATCATCAGTTGACCTAGGGTTGACCCAGTCAAACCCTAATTACACCACTCATGGTTGAGGCTTCTTATTCTTGCACAATGACCTGTCTAGGCTTCATGATGGCTTTCAAGACATCTCATAAGCTCTCTCAAAGCTTCAAGTCCATCCTCATAGCTTCAGAATCATCTGAGGAGCTCCCACAACTCTCAAGTTAGGAGGCACACAACCTTGGTTTCAACCAATCTCTCTGAGGATCTCTTGACTTGTCTGACAAAGGTATCAACCCTTGAACACTTGAATAGCCCTCTTGGCTAGCTTCAAAGTCTTGTGGTGCTCTTGATTGGTAATCATACCTCTTGATCTCCTGCACACATGTCAATGGAATGCAGATGATAATGCTAATGTGAATGAGATGTAACACAATCTAGGTAAAGAAATGTTGGTCAAATTTTGGGGTGCAACACATATGGAAGAGGTTGACCTCTATTTCACTTAGATGTGAATTATATATTTTTGAATGAACATTTGGAGGAAGTTGTTTATGTGAAACAACCTATAAGATTTGCATCACAGACAAGGAATAACTCGTATTCAAGTTAAACAAGACCTTACGTGGACATAACCAGACACCAAGAGTTTGTAATAGGAGCATAGATGGATTCATAATACACAAAAAGTTTGAGAAATGTGCCGCAAAATATAATGTGTATGTGAAGAATCTGAAGCATTTAGGAATGATTATAATTATAATATGCCTATATTTAGATGATTTGTTGATAAAGAGAACAAGATAGTTGAAATTGTAAAGTTCATGAAGGCATTTGAAATAATTGGTTTGAAAAAAATCTTGTTCTACCTATATAATAAGTAAGCACATTGAAGTAAAGTTTCAATTTCTTAGATAACAAGTTAAAGGTAGTCATCCATTTCTCACTTGAAAACCAATTGTCTGACTTATTCAAGCAGTCAAGATTGACATTTTTGAAAAGCTTAGGAATTGATGGAGATTGGTGTGTACCTCTAGATAATTTGAATAACAGGAGGGTGTTAATTTTCTTGTAATTCAAGTTAACTTTCTTGTAACTCAAATTACCTTGCAGCTAGCTTTAATTGAGGTAATTAGCATGAATATAGCTAGCATTAGTTAGTGAATTAATTAAGATAGTTAACATTAACTGATTTAAGTTATGCTCAATTTTGAGACTCTAGTTCTTATATAATACATTCCGCTTTTATTCAATACAATACATTCATTTCGTTATACTTCTAGTTTTTCTTTACTTTGCACTAACATAAATTAAAAAATAGCATTGACTTTTGAAGTTTCTAGCTGGCTTGAATTTAGAAAATAAAACTCAAAGCCCCCTCTATAGAACTCAAAATTCAGATTATGTGCAGTTACGTTATTCACACGATTTGTGCACCATGAATGTTGGATTGAGATTTCAAATAAAAAAAATGATCATCTGCATTTAAATCTGGACCATCTTCATGCATGCCTTAGGAGATGAATCCGCATTTTGCTTTTGTTAATTTTGAATGGTCATAAACATGCAAACCCCTTTGCCTTTCATGCTTTCACTATCTTCAGTCTCTTGCATGAGTATATAAACATGCTGCAATTATACAATTATTAATTAATTCACTGCATGGAGCATAAAAAAAATTGAAAGAAGCTGATTTAACTTATGTAACTTACTTCCATGGAACATCTCCAACCAACATCCAATCACCATCCTTGTCCTCGTAAGTAGGAGCATGTTCAGATCCATTATACCCTTCTCTTTCTGAATATTCACCTGTTTGATTAACCACAAGTTAATATTAATGATACTAAAAAATTGTGAAAAATTGAGGAACCGATAACTGTTTGTTCTTGCATGGTTCTTACCCAATGTGCAGTTGAACAAATCTTCCAAAGCTTTGAGAAGTTCTGAATAGCTTTTGTAAACTTTGAGATTTATCTTTCTCAAGTAAGGTGCACCAGCCATGCTTACTTTTACGTACATTCCACATTCTTCTTCCACTTTTTTCTGTTGTAAACTGTTCTTCCTAAACGATCTAATTGGTGGCCATCCAACTACTTGTACCCTGCAATATTCATCAATTTTCATTCATTAGTTATATAATCCCAAAAATCAAAACAAAGTTTAACTATGCAATCCAATATATTATTCACTTACTTTGAAGGTTGAACAGTGCATTGATCATGATCACTTGTGGTTGAGGAACTAGAAGCATTGCAAATGGAAGACTCTTCAACACTTGTTTCCGGTGAGAAAGATCTCTTGTTACTTCTAACAACAGATTCAGTACTGCATGAACATTTACCTTGTTCATCATCATTTCCAGGTAATCCCAACCTTAACTCTGTGTCCTTGTGATTAATAATCAAATCAGTTTCAATATAGTTTTCCATTTCTTGGTAATTCTTAGGGAATGAATGTGTTTGTGAGAGAGAGAATATTGAATGAGATAGGAAGCAAGATAGGTATCTCATCAAATTTATAATAACACATCTCTTGTGTCGTGTGGTGGATAATAAACCGACCATAGTTGTCACACGCGTTTCATCACTGACCAATCAGCTATTGACAAAACAGTATTTAAGGATGTGGGGTCTCTCTACACGGTGTGACTGTCTATCACATGAAGGACATGGATGAACATGTTGTTTAAGTTAGAGGGGACAATCAGGAAACATGTGTAGTTGCTAATAGATGGCGTGACTGTCTACACTATTAATGGACGGCTCGGATTGAAGGTGGATGTTTTATTGGATGGGCATTACTTTCTTGACATTTTCCTTTCTTTTTGTACTATTTATATGTATCACTTCTTTCCCATTTCACATGTATGAATTTTTATAGGATTATTAAAATTTTGGTTTGATTTTTACCGAAAATTTTAAAGAATTGGTAAAATAGAAATAGTTCGGATATTTGTAAATTTTTGGTGATATTTTAGATTTTTTTTTGAAATTTTGGTATATTCGATTTTTCGTCTCTATTAGAAAATCTGATAGTTCAATTTAATATGCTTTTGTTATTTGTGTTTGAGCTTGATGATTATTTTACATATTTCACTTTATTCTTTTCCATTGACGTTGTATATTTTACTTGCATCTTTTTTATCTTGTAAAATATTTAATCTAATTTTGGTATCTTTAACATATATCATTCGTTATATGTTTTATTTGATAGTTAATTTGCTCCCGAACCGAGTTATTATCATGACATAGTTTATTGGGAGATAATATAATATTATTATTGTTAGTGTTCGTTTTGATACAACAAATTGACTCAAAAGGATGAAAGATAAATTGACTATGGATAATGAAAGAGGAGAAAACTATAAGAATCATAATTTCTTTAAAGGCACTTTTAGTAGAAAATTTAAATGTCCATTTATTTTGAGATCTATGTATAGCGGTATTGGTTGAAAGGTAATAGTTAGATAAGTTATTCACAATGATGACCTAGCTAAGGATTTAGTGGGTCATGACATATTAGGTCGTTTAAAACCTCATGAAATACAGTTTGTGAGCTAAATGACAGAATACAACATGGCGTCGAGGTCCATAATTATCGCTTTAAAAGATAGAGATTCTAATAACCTGATGAGTACAACACATGTGTATAAGACAATATCCATGTAGTGTTATATTTGTGGAGGTCTTAAATTAGGGTGCCCACACTCAAAAGTTGTATCAACCAGTAGGGGTGGAAAAACGGGTCATCACCCGCGCACCCGCCACAAAATGGTGGGTTGGATTGGGATTTTGTGCCCGCCTACTTGCCTAACCCACCCCACTTTAATCTCGCCTCCCCTTAAGCCCACCAAAAAAAGAGGCGGATTGGCGCGTCAGCTCGCCAAAGTAGTTATCGGGCCAGCCCGCCAAAGTAGTTATTAAGCATTAAAATTATTATTTTTTGGTTGGTTAAAAGTTAATACTTGAACTATATTTTGGAATATTTATTGATGATTCTACTTTATTAATTTATTTGTGAATGTATGCAATTTTTTTTAAATAAAATTTGTTAAGAAGATATTGATCGTACCTGATCAGAAAGGAATCAGTAGCCTGCCACGCGTCGTGAGTTGCTTCCTTCACCGGTGTTGTAGAGGAGAAAAGGGGTGTACCTGCAAGATGTTTCGATACTTAAGTAATAGAACTAGAGAGAGAGCATGTATAGAGAAAAGGTGTAGTGAATAGAATATCTGACCCTCTAATGAAAGAGGATATTTATAATGTGCCCCCAGCGCAGGGCCAACGATTACATTGCACTGGGCCGTAAGTAGTGAAGACCAGCACATGGTCTTCATCCTGGATCAACTACCCTGTGATCTTCGGAAGGTGGGCTTATCTCTTTCGGAAGTGGATAGTTTCCTGATGACGTGCTCCCGCGTGGGAGACACGTGGAGAACGTGGGGGAAGCGCGTGGGCTCTCCTCGCGCCAAGTACTGGTCTTCCCGACTGAGGAGCCTTGTTGAGAGGCGTGCCCGACATGGAAGGATTGGACCTTGTTGGGCCTCCCCAACGTAGTGTTATATTGAGCCTGCCCGACTGAGGGACAGGTCTCGGCCCAGTCCAGAATAGATACTTTGTAAAAAATCATTCTAAAAAATAAGTGAAAAATTTAATTGAAATTTAAAAATAAGCTTATTAATCTATTAATAAAATAAAAAATAAATAAATAAAAAACTAGGAGGGAAAGCCCGCCAACCCACCACCTGGGCTAGATTTTAAAGCCCATTTTCACTTGACAGACTTGTCCGCTCTGCCCCCTTTTTTTGGCGGGCTTAAGGTAGGGCCGAGCGGGTGGCTAGTTTTGCCACCCATATCGACCAAGCGATGTCTTAAGGAATCGCGGGGGGTACCGATGCCGTGTGAGGGTGTCATTCAAAGAAGAATGAATCCTCCATTACTACTTAAAGATATGTGTTCAATAACTCCTCTTGATTAGGGGGAGAGGTTTCCATCCAGGATTACCCAAACCCTATGCCTAAATGACCTCTATAAATATTCTCCCATAAAAGGGTGAAAAGACAGATCTTAAGCCATACAAAACACTACACCCTAAAACCTAACACTTATCAACAACCATCTATCACATGATCACACCACTCAGAAGCTTATACCTAAGCATAGTTTTCATCAACAGGTTCTCTCACCTCATGTGACCAGGATCCACAAACCATTGTAAAACACCACCATATATAACTTTTCACCATCATGGGAAAGAAGTAACCATATACAGTTGTTGCAAACCCACTAAGGCCTCCGAGTCCCTTGCCCTTACCGGAGAACACATACACCTGTAAATTTTTTTTATAAGTGCATTCACTCTTTCTATCATTTTCACTCTTCCCGCTGTTACCCATTACTTCAATACTTAGCCACTTGTAGCTATGGTTAACATGAGAGCTCCATCCTCTATGCCGGAAGGTACCAGCGATAACAGTGATGTCGAATTCCTAGAGGAGATGTGTGCCGCCATGGACGAATTGCGTTGCCATAACCAGATGTTGAAGGACGACATCCACAACATCAAACATCACCAACAAGATTATAACCCCCCAGAAGAGATGGAATTGTTGAACCCCTAACTGTAACACCCCAAATCTAATTGGAATATTTTAATTTATTTATTTAATTAAGAATATTCATTTTTCGATGATTTTTGGTGGTTTTGTGAATTATGGAGAATTTAATGGAATTTGAGTTATTTATTTTGGAATAATAGTATATAATATGAATATATTATTATTATTATTATTATTATTATTATTATTATTATTATTAATTAAATAAACATAAGATGAATAAGGGTAATTTGGACATTTGAAGGAGTTAGTAAGGGTAATGAGAGAAAAGTCCAATTGTGAGGCCCAAGACTAGGTTTGACAAAATAGAGTTCTGAAAGGAAATTGAGAGTCATTTTGTTAACCGTGAAAGTTTTGTGGCCAGAGCTCTAAAGGAAAGGTTGGAGGCAGAAGATTCCCAAATTAATCATGAAAGCTTTGAATCGGCTAAGGTATGACGAGTATGGCTTTTCATGATTTTCTATGTATGCCTTTAGATGTGTTTATGGTTGATTTGGGATTTAAGGCATTTTGGGTTAATTGTGGGAAAATTAGGGAAATTGATGATAAGAATCTGAGATTATGGTTGGTGGTATGTATCACTGAACATTGACATGAAATTAGGAAACCTTAGGCCTTTGTGGCCAAAATCTTCGATTATTATATGTCCGACCATAAGGGATAGAGTATTTTGATATTTGAAATTATGATGCCTTCAGAGCAATTGTAGGGAAATTGTGATTTAGAACATGAATATGTTTTGGGATTGGCCTAATAAACCATAGATTTTGTGCTTTTATCGCCGTAAGACCTTAGGGATGATTTAGGGATGTTTTGGGGGCGTTGGGGAAATAAGTCGTGTGGACTTTTGGGTTAATTTAGCTTCTGGTGCGTAACAGTGTTTTGTTGTCCGTCACGACTGTTCATGTTTTCGGCCGAAATTGTTTTGGGCGTGACTTTTGATCCGTAAGTCCGTTTTGACCCCCGTTCGAAGCGTTAGAAAGCTAATGAACATGGTTATAATATAGTATAGATAAGGGAATTAGTTTCCCAATATTTTTATATCTAATTATGTTTGAGAAGTCAATTGTGTATATGTTCTATTAATGAATCATGTTCTGGTTCAGTGATGCCTTGATGTTTGATTCTGAGATTTCTGCGATGAGTTAATATGAGTATGACAGTGAGATTAATGTGATTAATAGGAGATAGTATGGGGATTACCGCGAGTATAACTTTTTGAATTAATATGAGATAATGTGAGATAATATTATGAATTAATATGTGATACTATGTGATAACATGACAGATTAATAGGAGTAAGACTATGAACTCTATGTGAAATGTACGTGATTATATGACGATTTCCACGATGCGTGATGATGATTAGTATGATGAATTATATGACGACATGATTTATGAGATTGTTTATTATGATGAATTATGATGATATGATGTTTGGTGATTATTATAATGAGCCTTGATAACATGATGTATGACGATGATTATGATGAATTATGATGATATGATGTTTGATGATTATTATAATGAGCCTTGATGACATGATGTATGATGATGATTATGATGAATCATGTGATAACATGAGATACGATGATTTATGTGATGATGATGACTATGTTGATGAGTTATGACGTTTGATGATGATTATTATGATGAATTATGTGATAACATGAGATATGATGATTTATGTGATGACGATGATTATTATGATGAGTTATGTGAAATATGATGATTTATGTGATGATGATGAGTATGTTGATGATTTATGATGTTTGATGGTGATGAATATGATGAATGATGATGTACCTATGA